AATAAGTTGTTCTCCTAAAAGATATGATAAAATTATTAAGAATATACCATTGCAAATGGTTAACCTTGTAAAGGAACAAATAAAATATTCAACGATAAATCCCAAAATAATTGATCTTAAGATAGAAAATGTTAACTTTACAGATAGAAAATGCTCAAACTAATTTTTGAGAGATTGTCTAACACAGTGTTGTTTTCCAGGACCTGTTAAGAGAGCTTATATTTTGTCTTATTATGATAAGAAAATTATTTATGATATCAGAAAAAGATTTCTTCCATATCCTGTTAATCCTAAATGTAAAGAAGTGCACTTTAAAATTATGAATACATATATCCTGCAAAAGAATTTCTAAGGTTAAAATTCAATATTGAGGACTCAAATGTATGCCAGTTTTGTAATGTAGATATAGAAACAATTGAATACTTGTTTTTCCAATGAAGACATTAAGAGAGATGAAAAGCCAAAAAGCAAGAAATCTATATTCATCATTGGATGATTTTGGTTTTATATTTTAAAGACTTTAACTCCCCTGCTACTTAAGTTTCTTTAGCATTTATTTTTTGTTAATTTTATTATTTTTTTTATTTATATATGTTGTATTATTAACGAGGATGGTAAGATTGTAATTGTATGCAATTTGATTGTTATCTCAGTCTTTTGTGTAATTCTAATAAGTATTAATGCCTTTCTGTTACTGTTCAACATTGTTAATAAAAAAAAAAACGGTACTACGTCATTGAGTGGGCGTGGCCTACCTGTAAATTTGCATAGGTCACGGATCATGCGCAAATTGTGAAAACAGCCGTTTGATTCAGATACCTGTACATAATCGCAGGGGTTTCGTGTCCATTGCCTTTTATATGCAGAACAAAATATAGCTCTCCTGATCGCAGGTGTTTCATGTGAAGTCAGTGTATGTTATATTAAACAAATTAACTTAAGATACCTCTCAGATTACATTAATACTGGTTTTACTTAAGATACCTGTCCCGACCCCAGGGCTTTTGTGTCAAATACTTTATATATCATATACAGTAACATCAGATACCTGTCCTGATCCCAGGGGTTTCATGTATGATCACTTTAATATACATTAACATCAGATACCTGTCCTGATACCAGGTGTTTCGTGTATGATCACTTTTATATTATAGCCTATAGGCTACATTAACATCAGATACCTGTCCTGATCTCAGGGGTTTCATGTATGATCACTTTAATATACATTAACATCAGATACCTGTCCTGATCCCAGGGGTTTCATGTATGATCACTTTAATATACAGTAACATCAGATACCTGTCCTGATCTCAGGGGTTTCATGTATGATCATTTTAACATACAGTAACATCAGATACCTGTCCTGATCCCAGGGGGTTCATGTATGATCACTTTAACATACATTAACATCAGATACCTGTCCTGATCCCAGGGGGTTCATGTATGATCACTTTAACATACATTAACATCAGATACCTGTCCTGATCCCAGGGGTTTCATGTATGATCACTTTACCATACATTAACATCAGATACCTGTCCTGATCCCAGGGGTTTCATGTATGATCACTTTAACATACATTAACATCAGATACCTGTCCTGATCCCAGGGGTTTCATGTATGATCACTTTAATATACAGTAACATCAGATACCTGTCCTGATCTCAGGGGTTTCATGTATGATCATTTTAACATACAGTAACATCAGATACCTGTCCTGATCCCAGGGGTTTCATGTATGATCACTTTAACATACATTAACATCAGATACCTGTCCTGATCCCAGGGGTTTCATGTCTGATCACTTTAACATACATTAACATCAGATACCTGTCCTGATCCCAGGGGTTTCATGTATGATCACTTTAACATACATTAACATCAGATACCTGTCCTGATCCCAGGGGTTTCATGTATGATCACTTTAATATACATTAACATCAGATACCTGTCCTGATCCCAGGGGTTTCATGTATGATCACTTTAATATACAGTAACATCAGATACCTGTCCTGATCCCAGGGGTTTCATGTATGATCACTTTAATATACATTAACATCAGATACCTGTCCTGATCCCAGGTGTTTCATGTATGATCACTTTTATAACATTAACATCAGATACCTGTCCTGATCCCAGGTGTTTCATGTATGATCACTTTTATATTAGTTAACATCAGATACCTGTCCTGATCCCAGGTGTTTCATGTATGATCACTTTTATATTAAATACAGTAACATCAGATACCTGTCCTGATCTCAGTTTTTTTGTGTATGATGACTTTAAATAAAAATATAAAATAAATATGAGTTATGTTAATTAACTAAGATCGAGAAAGAAAAATTAACCACGGTTTATTACAGAAAATGTGGTATTTATTTGTTTAAACATGACTGAATACCATTATTTTAAACTACAAAAGCACGGTTAATCTTACCACAACCATTATTATTTGGTTTAAAATGGAAGTACAAAAGCCCAGAGACAGTAAAACGGAGAAAAACGAGGTCAGCTGTTTTTTTCTAATGAATTCTTTAAAATATTGTAAGAACGGTCTTTAAACCACAGCGGTTCGAACTGTAGTTCGATCAGGCTTTAGTCCATGCCGTTTTGCTCCCTCTACAGATGCGCTGTAACATTGCGGGGCATAATTAAATGGATGGGGAACACCTGAGTCTAAAGGCATATTTATACTTCTGCGTCAAACACCGGCGTATGCTACGGCGCTGACGCATAGCCCTTCGCCGTGGCCGTCACTGACGTGCACCTCTCAAACAAGCCTGATTTATACTTCTGCGTCAGGTGACCGGCGTAACCCACGGCGCAGGCAACGCGCGTGGCTGTGCATTTATACTTCTGCGCGCTGTCTCTGTCGGTCTGCATTAATACTTCCAAAACGCTAGTTGGCAGTGAGGTGTAAATGTTCCTCTGTGTCGAGTTTCTTCGCTACTTTTTTGCTTTTCCTGAACACTTCCGGAATGTACAAGTGGCTCAAACTCGCTCATTTTGAGGCAGGAACCGGCGGACGTGCAACAACTTTAACTATGAGGTAAACACAAAACAAAACTTTCCATCCGGAGCTCCTTCACGGTACTCGCCATTCGCGCGGCTCTCGGTCCCGCCCAGACTCGTCAGCGCTACCAAGCCGACCAATCACGGAGCTTACGCTACGCATCGTTGCGAAGTGTAGTTACATTTTTTGAGAGGTGCACGTCAGTGACGGCGATGGCCACGGCGAAGGGCTATGCGTCAGCGCCGTAGCATACGCCGGCGTTTGACGCAGAAGTATAAATCAGCCTTAACTACACGTCGCAACGACGTGTAGCGTAAGCTCTGTGATTGGTCGGCTTGGTAGCGCTGACGAGTCTGGCGGGACCGAGAGTCGCACGAATGGCGCGAGCGATTGTTTACAAGTGTGGAGTCCCGTGAAGGAGCTCCGGATGGAAAGTTTTGTTTTGTGTTTACCTCATAGTTAAAGTTGTTGCACGTCCACCAGTTCCTGCCTCAAAATGAGCGAGTTTGAGCCACTTGTACATCCCGGAAGTGTTCAGGAAAAGCAAAAAAGCCACGAAGAAACTCGACACAGAGAAACATTAACACCTCACTGCCCACTAGCGTTTCAGAAGTGTTAATGCAGACCAACAGAGACAGCGCGCAGAAGTATAAATGCACAGCCACGCGCGTTGCATGCGCCGTGGGTTACGCCGGTCACTTGACGCAGAAGTATAAATCAGGCTTTAATAAGTGAGGGCTCTTTTATCAGCGTCCTGCCTCTGTTTGAGAGAGACTCTTCCAGCTAAGGGTTGGACGGAGACCAGCGGCATGAGAGTTGGCAGGGCGTTTTTGCCTAATGTTTGATCACAGTTGGCTTAAAAATAAAACTTTTTTAAAGTGACTTTTGGCTTCCCCCTCTTTTTTTCTTGTTTCGCCTCGAGGGCGTAACAGTTAATAACAGTGAATTATATTGTTTCATCACAGGTTGTGCCTCAATTAGTCTTGTTGTTTGCTTGTTTGTTTGTTTGTTTGTTTACTTGGCTTGTTTGCTGTAATGAATACACTTTTCATGCAAAGTTCTTAAAAATTACAGCAGCTCAAAACAAAATTTATATTAAGAGGTTCAGGGCTATGAGCCCAACAAAAGCAAACACTTTTCTCCATGATGGTGACTTTAGTCTATGTGGTCCACATATGTTTTATTAAGATAACTGGGCCACATTTGCCATATCTTCTCTGGGCCACATTACGCTAACAGCTACAATAGCCAGAGCTTACTGTGCAAAATATTTGCCAAAAGTGGAACACATGTGTCTTAAAGATAATTGGGCCACATTTGCACTTACATGTGTGAGCCACTGTATGTTTAGACCCAGATTACCCTTAAATGACTATGCCACATTTTTGCCAACTGTGGCCCACATTTGTCCTTCATCATTTGGGCCAAATTTTTAATTTTACACATGGGACACATTAGGCTCACATTCAGATTACATTTTGCCATGACAGCCAAATCTTTTCCTTAAATGGCCCATTTATGAATTTGAATCATTGGCCCCCTTTGCCATTGTACAGGTGGTCCACTTAAGGCTCACATTCTTTTTTGTCTGGGCTAAAGGAAGACAACCAGTGCCGCATAACTGCCTAAAGTGGCCCCACCCCCTGGCAACCGCAGAAGCTGTGAGAAAATATTATGAGTTTTTTGAAGACCACGACAAGTCAACTGATGTTTCGCTGAAACATTGACTTCAAATTATAAAACAGCATAGGTGTCACTTTAGCCCCCCTAAAACTTTTGCGATTAGCTTATAAACTGTACACTACTAAATGATCGCCTTAGTCCCCTTTAAATTTCATTTAAAAAATGGTAGTAGACTTCCGCTTGCAAGGAATCCACTTTATATACCTTTTCAGATAAGTTCTGGTGGTCCTCCGGCATTTTAAAGCACTGCCGAATTTTTGAACAAACTACACATTATCTATAATATAATAAATGCAGCTAGCAATGTAAATGAGTTATTTTATTACAAATGCAGGCCGATCATTTGTCAGCTGCAGAAAACAAAGAAAAAGTATACGTATTTATTATTACACAGTGACCAAATGAACCCTAATGCTGCTTCCAAACAAAAGTCCATGAGGAGAGCACCACAGAACATTATTATGCTGCAGTATGTATTGGTTGTGTTTTTATTGGAAGCGTGTGCTGATGTTCCTCTGGGCTGCAGGCTGCGGGACGTTCTGCTGCTGCTGCTGTAATTGATGCCGAAGCTGCTGGGAATATGGGTCTTCCAGAGACTTCACCGAAACAGTGTTTTTAGGGCCGGTCTTCCATTCAATCCCACTGGTGTCCACCACTGAGGCTTCAACAGATACCTGGTGTGTGCCCAGGATGGAGAAGTTGAGCAGGAACTGTGTGCTGAAGTAATCGTTATGAGGCTCTACTTTCTGTTCAATCTCGTTGGTTTTGGATTCCAGAGGAATCTAAAAACAAAAGTTGACAACAGGAGAGTGAAAAAATCTTTATTGTTGCAATAAACTCTTCATTCACCCTTCAATTCAATTCACTCATTCACAAGTTCTATCATCACTTGGCCATATGACTTGAAAAAATCTAAAAAAAAAAATGTATGGGATTTGAGAGATTACTGTCCCTCCATTGATAATTTATCAAATGTCCCAACCCTTATTTTTATTCTGTTGAGTATAAAAGTAGTTATTTTGAAGAATGTAGAAACTGGTTCCAAATTAATACTATGGGTGTCAATTATTATTGTTTTCCAACTTTTTTTCCTCAATAACTTATTTTATGTTCAACAAAAATCAAGTGAAAGATGAGTAAATAATGAAAGCATTTTCAGTTTTGGGTGAATTTTCCCTTCAAAACTTTTTCCAAGATTAAAATCAGCAAAGTGACTGAGAAAGAGTGGACAAAGCTTCTGATTCAAAGCTCTGATACAAGTTTTATTTGTGGAGAAAATTAAAAAGCACTGCAGTGTTTGGGTGTTCGGTGTTTATCTGAGATAATAAGTCTACCAAAATGTGTAAATTCCATACAAAATATGAAGCTGACAGGTCACTTCATCAAGTGACTCGCAGTGCACTTGCAGCATTCTGAAGCGCCCTGGAAGCTGCGAGCATGTCTGTGCCTCTATTGAAAATAACAAACTTGCAAACAGAAAAGACATAATTTGTTATCTCCAGCAGTTTGATCTACTTGAACAGACATGCTGGAATCATCTAATTTGTTGATAAAAGGGGTTGCGGATCCATTCCTTGGCAGTTTGTGGGTCCTTCACTGGGCCTTTCCCCTTCGCAAAGAAAATTTACAAAAACATCTATTTCTTACTCATTTTGCTAGCTTGTGGGTTAAATTTGGGAGCTCAAGTGACCGAGATGTAACCAAAAGGTCAATTTTAAAATGGAAGGGTTTTCAAAATAAAAGATCAGAGTTGGGTCATCAAAAGAAAAGCTAAAAAAAAAAAAGTTCATATTTAAATAACAAATAAAATGGAAATAATTAATGAATTCTTGTGTGGCCCACTACCAATCGATCTACAGCCCGTAGGTTGGGGACCACTGATCTACTATAAAATAAATAAATAAACAAATAATAATAATAATAATAATAATAATAATAATAATAATAATAAATATAGCTGCAAGCAGCAATTAAGGGGCCAAGCACTATTGGCCATAAGGTGGTGCTGCTCCAGACGTTTTTGAGTACTTTCAGGGCATGGGGTTGAAGATGCATACCATGTTTTGTAATGATATGTGAATGTGTCGGTAAAATATAGCATTTTTGGCCAAAAATCAAAATGGGCGACGCCCAAAAAGGCTGACCTGTGAAAATCAGACATCATTCGACTCGGCATGCTCTGCCGGATGTAATGAGACCAGTTTCATGAGTTTCGGACGAAAGGTTGAGACGTTATAAGCCAAAAAGCAAGTTTTTTTTGTATCTCCGGACCACTAGAGGGCAGTGTGCCGAAACTCCGCAATTAACCTTAGACTCTAGTTGTCATAACACACACCAAGTTTGGTGTGAATCGGTGAATGCGTTACAGAGATATCGCCTCAAGTCCATTTTTGCAAGTTCTTCGTTAAATTTGATCGCAAGTTAAACGAAAACGGTTGGTCAAATCAACTTAACTTCCATAACTTTTGGTTGGAATGGTCTGTAGATCATGTGATTCATTTTTGGTGAAAATCGGAGACACGGACTAGGACGAGTTCGATCAAATAGGTTTTACAAAAAATTTAAAATAGCGCGAAAAAATTCATGACGGAAAATGACGTCATAGGGTGGGTTTGAATCGGACTGAGCCAAGGAATCAGAGGAAAAAAGAATTTTGATTGTAGCCCATTCGGTTCAAAAGTTATGATGATAAACATACGTGAAAGTTTGGACAAGTGGTGGCGCTAGAGAGTTTGATTTTGAGACTTCATAATTGGCCTGATTAATGTTAATACTGGCCTCTATTATTGTGCCAAATTATACAACTTTCCCGCATACGCCTATATGGGCTGCCATTCAAATCCGGCGGAAGAAACGGAAGAATAATAATAATAATAATAAATATAGCTGCAAGCAGCAATTAAGGGGCCAAGCACTATTGGCCATAAGGTGGCGCTGCTCCAGACGTTTTTGAGTACTTTCAGGGCATGGGGTTGAAGATGCATACCATGTTTTGTAATGATATGTGAATGTGTTGGTAAAATATAGCATTTTTGGCCAAAAATCGAAATGGGCGACGCCCAAAAAGGCTGACCTGTGAAAATCAGACATCATTCGACTCGGCATGCTCTGCCGAATGTAATGAGACCAGTTTCATGAGTTTCGGACGAAAGGTTGAGACGTTATAAGCCAAAAAGCAAGTTTTTAGTATCTCCGGACCACTAGGGGGCAGTGCGCCGAAACTCCGCAATTAACCTTAGACCCTAGTTGTCATAACACACACCAAGTTTGGTGTGAATCGGTGAATGCGTTACAGAGATATCGCCTCAAGTCCATTTTCGCAAGTTCTACGTTAAATTAGTTCGCAAGTTAAACGAAAACGGTTGGTCTAATCAACTTGAATTCCATAACTTTTGGTTGGCATGGTCTGTAGATCATGTGATTCAATTTTGGTGAAAATCGGAGACACGGCCTAGGACGAGTTCGATCAAATAGGTTTTGCGAAAAATTTAAAATAGCGCGAAAAAAGTCATGACGGAAAATGACGTCATAGGGTGCGTTTGAATTGGACTGAGCCAAGGAATCAGAGGAAAAAAGAATTTTGATTGTAGCCCATTCGGTTCAAAAGTTATGATGATAAACATACGTGAAAGTTTGGACAAGTGGTGGCGCTAGAGAGTTTGATTTTGAGACTTCATAATTGGCCTGATTAATGTTAATACTGGCCTCTATCATTGTGCCAAATTATACAACTTTCCCGCATACGCCTATATGGGCTGCCATTCAAATCCGGCGGAAGAAACGGAAGAAGAAGAAGAAGAAGAATAATAATAATAAATATAGCTGCAAGCAGCAATTAAGGGGCCAAGCACTATTGGCCATAAGGTGGCGCTGCTCCAGACGTTTTTGAGTACTTTCAGGGCATGGGGTTGAAGATGCATACCATGTTTTGTAATGATATGTGAATGTGTTGGTAAAATATAGCATTTTTGGCCAAAAATCGAAATGGGCGACGCCCAAAATGGCTGACCTGTGAAAATCAGACATCATTCGACTCGGCATGCTCTGCCGAATGTAATGAGACCAGTTTCATGAGTTTCGGACGAAAGGTTGAGACGTTATAAGCCAAAAAGCAAGTTTTTAGTATCTCCGGACCACTAGGGGGCAGTGCGCCGAAACTCCGCAATTAACCTTAGACCCTAGTTGTCATAACACACACCAAGTTTGGTGTGAATCGGTGAAAGCGTTACAGAGATATCGCCTCAAGTCCATTTTCGCAAGTTCTACGTTAAATTAGTTCGCAAGTTAAACGAAAACGGTTGGTTTAATCAACTTGAATTCCATAACTTTTGGTTGGCATGGTCTGTAGATCATGTGATTACATTTTGGTGAAAATCGGAGACACGGCGTAGGACGAGTTCGATCAAACAGGTTTTTCGAAAAATTTAAAATAGCGCGAAAAAATTCATGACGGAAAATGACGTCATAGGGTGCGTTTGAATCGGACTGAGCCAAGGAATCAGAGGAAAAAAGAATTTTGATTGTAGCCCATTCGGTTCAAAAGTTATGATGATAAACATACGTGAAAGTTTGGACAAGTGGTGGCGCTAGAGAGTTTGATTTTGAGACTTCATAATTGGCCTGATTAATGTTAATACTGGCCTCTATCATTGTGCCAAATTATACAACTTTCCCGCATACGCCTATATGGGCTGCCATTCAAATCCGGCGGAAGAAACGGAAGAAGAAGAAGAAGAAGAAGAATAATAATAAATATAGCCGCAAGCGGCGATTAACGGGGTTCGAGCATTTGGCAAACTAATTGCCATTTAGGCAATTTAGATGTAGGACAACCCAACATTTAAGGCTGACCCTAAAGAAATCCATGATGTAATGTAATAAATGGTAAAAATATAAAGCCTACATAAATGAAGTGGTAACCTGGTACTAAATCAGCTTTTAAATGCAATAACAGAGTTTATGCCATGTCAAGATGTGATTCAGAATGATCTTTAATGGACATTTAGTGACTTTAAACCAACATTATGAGGTCTTGTGCTGTCATCTAGTGGTTTATATTAGTAATGCATGTTTAGATCCTTTGTGGAAGCATATGAACACACTGTGCTCTTCAGATAAATATATCAAGCTCATTTATGCACAAAAGTTCAATTGTTTTTCATAATTACTGATTTAGACAGTGCAGACATTTGTACAACATTGATTTTGTTCAATTTGAGCAAAAAAGCAGGGACGAGTTCCTAAAAGTATTGTTTGAAATAATGGTGAATAATAAATGGATGGTCTGAGTTACAGCAGTGGATTTCATGCCAAAGTGATCAGAATGTGCAGGCCTATCATATAATATGTCAGATCAAGTATATTTATGAAAAGCTGTCTACAATAAACACATATTATACAAATTATGGTCAAATAGCAATGGAAATTAGTGTTTTTGAGACCTTTTCTACTGTTATAGCGCCACCTATTGACCTATCTTCACAAAATGTTGCATGCTTGTTAAAAATCACATCTCAGATGTACATACCTGATTTCACGAAGTTTTGAGTTTTCCTTATGCATTTACATGCATTTAGGTCAATATAAGACACACCCCTTTTGTAAATGAGCCATTTATAGCTACCAAAAGAGGAAAGTTCAACTCATTTCAATAACTATTGATCTGCTCAGTTCAGAGATTCATACAACACTGGTTTCGTGGTGATTGAGCGAAAAACCAGGGACTAGTTCGCAAAAGTAGGTTTTTCATATATTAATTAATATTTAATAAAAAGATTGAGTG